CTTTGCATTATTTTGCACTCTTCCACAAGAAACAACGTTGCAGATTGAAACTGGACGACAGCGTGACCCGAAAGAAAGCTGGAGGGAGGAGACGCACAGAAGCTTTTACCCACACACACAGGGCTTTTACACAGAGAAGTCTTTACACAAAGGAGCTTTTTACATACAGAAGGTTTTACACAGAGAAGTCTTTACTCTAAGGTGCTTTTGCAGACAAACGTCTAGGAGCTTTAACTCACAGAAGTTTTTACACGAAGAAGTCTTACACAGAGGGCTTTTTACACACAGACGCGTTTGCACACAGAAGCTTTTACACAGAGAAGCCTTTACACAGAGGAGCGTTTACACACCAAAGCGTTTACACACAGCAAGCTTTTACACACGCAGGGGCTTTTACACATTTACACAGAGTAGCTTTTTACACACAGAAGGTTTTACACAGAGAAGTCTTTCCTCTGAGGAGCTTTTTCACACAAACGTCTTGGAGCTTTTACACACAAAAGCTGTTACACAAAGAAGTCTTTACACAGAGAGCTTTAACACACAGACGCGTTTACACACAGAAACTTTTACACAGAGAAGTAGCCTTTACACAGAGAGTTTTTATACACGGAAGCTTTTACACACAGAGAAATCTTTACAAAGACGTGCTTTCACACAGAGAAGCTTTTACACAAAAAAGTCTTTACACAAAGTGGTTTTTACTTTTACACACAAAAGCTTTTACACAGAGAAGTCTTTGCACAGAGGCGCCTTTACACGAAGTAACAAGTTGAAATCGGCAGCAGTTCTTTAGGAAAAACCCTTCGCAGGAGCTTTCGGGAACTCACTTGCTCCCCAAAAAACGTCTATTCCAACAAATATGTTCCAAAAAACCTAAGGAATATATTTCTGAAGCAGGTCCTCATTCAGTAACTTTCACGCCCACACTGCGATGAAATGGAGGGCCGAGTGGTCCGGCGGAGCCGACGAGGGGCGTCAGCCCAAAAATTCGGCTCCGCCGGCTCCCCACGAGTGGCTTGCCCTACGAGCGTCCCAGAGCGACTAGAGCTCTAAGGTGAGGCGCGCCCCAAGCCGCCGACCCTCCGACGCCGGGCCCCGAAAAACACCAAAAATCCTTCAGGAGGGTGGGGGAGAGCTTTTTGGCCGGGAATCCGGGTCGCTCATAAGCGTCTCCAAGAGCATTCCCCCCCCCCCCGTTTTGAGGGTACCTAAAATCGGAAAAAAGCGCCGTTTTGACACATTTTTCGGACGATTTTTCGCTTTTCGAAAGTCACAAAATGCTGTAAATTACAGCATTTTTGCGTTTTAACGTCTTTTGCGGGAGCCTTGCAAAAACGCAGAAAATGCTGTAAATACCAATACTTTTTGGACCCAAGATGCACAAAACACCGCAAATACCACTGTTTTTGAAAGCCAAGCAAAAAAACACTGTAAATTACAGCATTTTTGGCGGGTTGATCGCAAAAACTGATGGTATTCACAATGTTTTTGCAATTTCAAGAAAACGTGGAAGGCACGAAACACTGTAAATAGCGGGGTTTTGGCCACTGTTGGACGCCGAAACGCTGGTATTTACGCAGTTTTTTGCCCGTGGCGGCGCCAAACCCCTGTAAATTACAGCATTTTCTTCCCTTTCTGAACCGATTTTTTGCATTGATGAACGCAAAAAACGCTGGTATTTACGCGTTTTTCAAAAAATCGAAGATCGTGACGTGAACGAAACCCTGCAAATAACAGTGGTTTAGCCACTTTCGGGGACTAAAACTGTGGTATTTACGCGGGTTCTTGCCATCTGACAGCGCAAAATGTTGTAAATTACAGCACTCTGTGCCCTGTTTATGTTCAATTTTTTAACCTGCGATGCTTTCACCTGTTCTTTGCATTCTTCCACAAGAAACAATGTTGCAGATTGAAACTGGACGACAGCGTGACCCGAAAGAAAGCTGGATGGAGGAGTCGCACAGAAGCTTTTACACATACAGGGGCTTTTACACAGAGAAGTCTTTACACAAAGGAGCTTTTTACACACAGAAGGTTTTACACAGAGAAGTCTTTACTCTAAGGAGCTTTTGCACACAAACATCTAGGAGCCTTTACACACAGAAGCTGTTACACAAAGAAGTCTTTACACAGAAGGCTTTTTACACACAGACGCGTTTGCACACAGAAGCTTTTACACAGAGAAGCCTTCACACAAAGGAGCTTTTACACACAAAAGCATTTACACACAGCAAGCTTTTACACACACAGGGGCTTTTACACAGAGAAGTCCTTACACAAAGGAGCTTTTTACACACAGAAGGTTTTACACAGAGAAGTCTTTACTCTAAGGAGCTTTTGCACACAAACGTCTAGGAGCTTTTTCACACAGAACTTTTTACACGAAAAAGGCCTGACAGAGAGAGTTTTTACACACAGACGCGTTTGCACATAGAAGCTTTTACACAGAGAAGCCTTTACACAGAGGAGCTTTTACACACAAAAGCATTTACACACAGCAAGCTTTTACACACACAGGGGCTTTTACACGGAGAAGTCTTTACACAAAGGAGCTTTTTACACACAGAAGGTTTTACACAGAGAAGTATTTACTCCAAGGAGCTTTTGCACACAAACGTCTAGGAGCTTTTTCACACAGAACTTTTTACACGAAGAAGGCCTGACAGAGAGAGTTTTTACACACAGACGCGTTTGCACACAGAAGCTTTTACACAGAGAAGCCTTCACCCAGAGGAGCTTTTACACACAAAAGCATTTGCACACAGCAAGCTTTTACACACGCAGGGGCTTTTACACAGAGAAGTCCTTACACAAAGGAGCTTATTACACACAGAAGGTTTTACACAGAGAAGTCTTTACTCTAAGGAGCTTTTGCACACAAACGTCTAGGAGCTTTTTCACACAGAACTTTTTACACGAAGAAGGCCTGACAGATTGAGTTTTTACACACAGACGCGTTTGCACACAGAAGCTTTTACACAGAGAAGCCTTTACACAGAGGAGCTTTTACACACAAAAGCATTTACACACACAGGGGCTTTTACACAGAGAAGTCTTTACACAAAGGAGCTTTTTACACACAGAAGGTTTTACACAGAGAAGTCTTTACTCTAAGGAGCTTTTGCACACAAACGTCTAGGAGCCTTTACACACAGAAGCTGTTACACAAAGAAGTCTCTACACAGATATATAGCTTTCACACACAGACGCGTTTACACACAGAAGCTTTTACACAGAGAAGCCTTTACACTTTACACAGAAAGTTTTTACACACGGAAGCTTTTACACACAGTGAAATCTTTACACAGACGTTTCACACAGAGAAGCTTTCACACACAGAAGCTTTTACACAAAGAAGTCTTTACACAAAGTGGTTTTTACACACAGAAACTTTTACACACAAAAGCTTTTACACAGAGAAGTCTTTGCACAGAGGCGCCTTTACACGAAGTAACAAGTTGAAATTGGCAGCAGTTCTTCGGGAAAAACCCTTGGCAGGAGCTTTCGGGAACTCACTTGCTCCCCAAAAAAGCCGTCTATTTTATTTCCAACAAAGTTCCTATTCGATGAACTTTTTTCAAACAACATAAGGACTATATTTCTGAAGCAGGTCCCCATCCAAAAGCTTTCAAGCCCACACTGCGATGAAATGGAGGGTCGAGAAATCCGGCGGAGCCGACGAGGGGCGTCAGCCCTTAAAATCCGGCCAGGGGCCCCCTGGCCGTGTCCTTGCCGTACGGCAGTTCTCTCCTCTCCATAGGAGAGAGGGGCCGCCGCCCCAGCCGCCGACACCCCCGGCCGCCAAAAAGTCCCGCGTTTTACGGTGTTTTGTGCTCGTCGCATTTTTTCGCCGTTTCCGGATCTTGTGGCTCAAGATGGGCCAACATGGGCCAACATAGGCCTCAAGCTGGGCCAACATAGCCCCAAGATGGGCCAACATAGCCCCCAAGATGGGCCAACATAGCCCCAAGATGGGCCAACCTAGCCCCAAGATGGGCCAACCTAGCCCCAAGATGGGCCAACATAGCCCCAAGATGGGCCGACATTGCCCTCACGCTAGGCCAACATAGCCCCAAGATGGGCCCACATAGCCCCAAGATAGGCCGCCGACCATCAAAATATCCTGCGTTTTACAGTGTTTTTTTGCTGTTCCCAATTTTTCGGATCTTCTGGCTCAACATGGGTCAACATGAGGCCAACATGGGCCAACATAGCCACAAGATGGGCCCACATTGCCCGCAAGATAGGCCAACATACGCCAACATAGGCCAACATAGCCACACAATGGGCCGACATAGTTGGGCCCCTGGCCGGCTGTCGCGCGTAAGCGCTTAAATCCGGCCAGGGGCCCCGTGGCCGTGGCATTGCCGTAGGCGTTTCTCTCCTCTCCGTAGGAGAGAGGGGCCGCCGCCCCTGCCGCCGACCTCTCCCCCCCGCCAAAAACCCCCGCGTTTTACGGTGTTTTGTGCTTCCCATTTTTTCGCCTTTTTTGGATATTGTGGCTCAAGGTGGGTCAACATGGGCCAACATAGGCCTCAAGATGGGCCAACATAGCCCCCAAGATGGGGCACCATAGCCCCAAGATGGGCCAACATAGCCCCAAGATGGGCCAACATAGCCCCAAGATGGGCCCACATTGCCCTCAAGATAGGCCAACATAGCCCCAAGATGGGCCAACATAGCCCGCCGACCATCAAAATATCCTGCATTTTACAGTGTTTTTTGCGGTTCCCATTTTTCGAATCTTTTGTCTCCACATGGGGCGACATGAGCCAACATAGGTCTCAAGATGGGCCAACATAGCCCCAAGCTGGGCCAACATAGCTCCAAGCTCAGCCAACCTAGGCCAACATAGCCAAGAGATGGGCCAACATAGTTGGGCCCCTGGCCGGCTGTCGCGCGTAAGCGCTTTAAATTTACATTGATGATCATTGATGCATACTCACATGTCGCAAGTCCAGCAAAGGCTTTGCCAAGTCTATCCTAGGCGTCCCGACGTGGCGACCGCGAAGTGGCCATGGATGCCATCTTCGCAGCACTGCGAATCGTACCTTTCGCTGCCTTTGGAGTCTCCGAGAAGAGACCTCCAGAAACTCATCGCTGCGAAGAAACTAAGAAACTTCACTATCCAGCTGTTGTGCTTGCCATCGAGCCTTCCAACAAGCCACCGTTAGAGGAAGCTTCCACAGGTGCCGGAGGCTCCTGGTACTTTGCGAGGACAAGAACATGCCAAAAAAGCGGGGCATTGTACCAGTGAGTTGGACCCACTATTGGATGCTATTAGGACTATTAGGACCATCAGGACTATTAGTGACTATAAGGACTATACATCTTCAAATGGCTTCCAACTTAAGATTTTCGTCGTCAGTTCTCCCGCCTCGGCGGCTTCTGGTCTAGGTCCAAGGGATAGCTCTCGGCGGATGTGGACCACCTGGTCACCCAGTTCACCCAGCCACGTGGTCAAAACATATGGGGTATGGTCAGCCCACCATGCTACAACTCTATTAATGGATGACTGGATGACTATTCGCCCGGTTTACCCTCCCAAGTTTTGGTGGCACAAGTTGGCACTTTTGTGTTGAATCTGATGATCATTCCACCAGGGCCCCTTGGCCTGGCGTCCAAGACCCTCTGCTTCCCGGCTCAACAACTCCAGCCGACCTCGATCCTGGAGGCAAGGCATGGCAAGGCTGGATACTGTGGTTGCCGGCAGTTGCAGATGTTGCAGGCACACTGTGGCACACATGCTTCCAAAATTTCCAAATGCTGAAAAACATTCAAATGCCTCCCTTTTTGGTGCAGCTTAGCTGATCACTCATTTACGAAGGAAGAGCAAGTTGGACAACAAGAAAGAGACAAATTGGATCAAATTGGACCTTTGACTGTTGAATGAGTCGTTTTGGACTTGCGTCTCCCATTAGACGACCTCGAAGGCGTCAAGTGATACAAGACTGATGGAAGTATCCATAAATCTGGGACAAACTTCAGCTGCTTTGCAGCCCAGTTTTGGGAAATATGATGAAATATGTAGATTGAAGCTGACACCTGACGCGGCTCAGAGTGCCCCTGTTGAGAAGCTTACGCCCATGGGACGGTAGAACCTGGCCACCAGAGACCATGTACCGTGCAGACGCAGACCATGAAACGAAGCTATCCACTGCACTGCCATTCCAAGTATTCCAAGTCCAGGTTGCGGACTGTGACTGAATCAGTGGTCGATGAGCAAAGGGAGACGAAGTATAGGTCTTCCTGAGAATCTCAGAGCGAAGAACTGCAAACTTCAAGTCCGAAAAACATATCCAAAAAAAAATCAAAGTTTGCTGAGTATACCCCTTAAAATTGCCGTTTTTGGTGCTACTTCGGGAATCTGACCAGCCGAGCTTCGTGGCGGGTCCAGCTGTCCAACCAATCTCTTGTGCTGTTGTGAGGGCTCGGCCATACCTTTGGATCTTGGATGATCTTGGTGGATTCAGATGGAGGGTTTCAATTTTCCATTGGGGTCCCCAAGTCACCATGGGTTTCGATCCTAGAATGGTCTGACTTGGGATGATTTGGAGGCACCCCAATAAAACCTCCATGACTGAGGTTTCACCTCCATTGTCCTGGAATACTTTGCTGGGTATATTGTATTAACATCATCAGTCTATTAAGGATGTTGGCCCTCCGCACTTGCTGTAATCTGTCTTGCTGGAATTAACCCCTATGAACGGGGGGATGACTATGATGACGATCCCCTTTGATGGGAAAACAAGCCATGTTTTGACGCGCACCACGTAGAGTCAACTACACTCCAACGTCCAAAGCACAGGCATGGCACACATTTCTTGATTCCTCTGATGCTCGATAAACACAGTTGGTTGTTGATCAAAATTCCTTTATCCCGGAACGGACATTCTTCGCGAATAAAAATTTTACTTTCGCGAAACTTTCGCGAACTCCATGTTTATCTTTCGCGGGGCCCATGTTGGCCAACAACACCTCTTATGAAGATTCGTTCACCAACTGCCAAATTACGCCAGAGAATTTCGGATCACTTCTTGGTAGCCTTTTAAACATGCAGCTAGCATCACGGAATCCCTTCTCAGGACAGACTTTTTTTTGCAAAGTTTACTGGCCCACCCCCTTCAACATGCACTTTGACTTTCGCCCGCTCTTTCGCATAACTTTCGCGGAACTTTCGCGAAAATATCCCTATTCACAGACCCCGGCCATCAGCAGGGGGTGCACTGAAGGAAAAGCGAAGACCAGGGGCCTTGGTGTTTGGCTCTCGCAAAGCCTCACTTTTGGAAACTTGGCTACTGCTACTCGCATTCTCTGGTGCCCTTCTCCTGCCGGACCCCGGGCGGCAGTGGGTGGCAGCCCTTTACATATAATGATTATAATACCCAACTTTCGCGAAACTTTCGCGAAATAAAATTTTACTTTCGCGAACTCGAAAGAAAACTTTCGCGAGGGTTTCCAACATAACATGCACGGCTTTCGCAATTAAAACTCCTTACAAGGACCTTTAGATCGATCACCAGTTGGGTTTTTTAACATGTTTGAATATGTTGAAGATGTTGAAGCGTCCAGAAATGAGATGGAACCAGGAGGTGATGAAATTGCATGAAATTACCCCATGGTTTCTGATGAAATGCACATCTCTCTTTTTGTTGACATTGAGAATGTTTGTTTTGGTTGAACAACTCCGTCCAGGAAATGATAACGGAGGCCCGCCTTTCAATGGGACCTCCTTTGGTCTTCTCCAACTTCAAATAGGCACCTTGTGTGGCGCCCCACCCGTCGTCCACTGCTCTACAAATCCAGATTCGTCTGCAGCCAAGGAGCCTCTACCTTGACCTGCGGACAATCAACTTCGCATCCCAGTCATCCCAAAATTTACCGTACTCAAGTTGAATCGGCTTATCCTCTGACTCCATTCTGGTTTCAGAGAGCGCACCCAAATGTACTCTGCTCTTTGCTGCTTCCTTGTCTGCAATGTCGTTGTATTGCATCAGCTGTTGGAACTAATGGGCCTTCTCCAGTCACTCCAAAGCGCAGAATCTTCTGCGGATCCGATTGCACGCCTCAGAAACTTCAAAGATCTGGCACTTCAGATGTCTTCCCAAGTGGCAGATAATTATCCAAATCAGGTCCTATCAGGTCCTGCAAATCACCAAAAGTCAGCAAGTGCCTCGCCATCTGCGGATCCGAGTTTTTCAATTGGTCCAGTTGCTGTCCCAGTGACGTGGCTTGCCATCATGCGGATGCGGATTGGGAAAGTGGCCCAAGGATTGCTCCAGCCTCGGCGGAAGTATATGTGATTCAAGCAAAACATGGCCATCGCAGCTTCGCATTCCAAGCCCATCCAAGCACTCTCTGGACAAGTTGCTGAGAGACTTGGCACCTCAGGCCCAGTGGGACCCAGTGGGACATGAGCCGATTCAACTGATCATCAACATGAGTGCTGTTGATACTGTTCATCCAAGGGACGACTTATGCTTTGGCTGGGTCAAAATGTTCTTGGCCTCAAGCACCCAAGCACTGCTGTGGCCGCTGCAAGTCATTTAGATTGATCTGAGAAGAAGACAGCAATGCCCAAAGCTTCTTCTTGAGCTCTCTTCTTCGCAAGCTGCTCTTCGCGGATTCTCTTAAAGTGCCTCAAACGGATCCAAACAACGAAAAGCATTCTGAAATTACCAAGACATGTTCAAATGTATTTATTTGTTGTATCTTTTCAGTTGATGTGTTCCATTCAGTCCAGGCTGCTTCATTTCTTTCTCAATGGTCTCACCATAGACCTGCGCCACCATATAGTCCTCAGCAGGGTCATCATAGAGGGCCTGAAACTGCACTCCCCAAGGAGGATGGTTTCCCAGTTTCCCTAGAAATGCGCCACCAAGTGCCCGTTTTCTTCGCTGGCTATCCCCCCACTTTGGAGATGTACCCCACAGCCTGACAGCTCTGCAAATCACCAATAAAACACCTGCAACACGCCATGGCACCATCGCCATGGTGACGAGCTGACTCTTTGCCGCGCGCTGCGGCCGACTTTCTACGCGTCGCTCGCTTCACTCTTGGGCAACTCGGCCATAGAATGTTCAGCACTGGATCATCTGGTGACTCCACTCATCTTTAAACGGCAGCAGAATCATAATTTGCTCCTTTGTAGTATCGCACCATCCAGGGTTCTAGAGGAAGTAAAATAAGTAAATCTCAACCACCCAAAAATGTGCCCAATTTTTTGTATATTAATCCAAATAAATCCAAACAATGGAACCACATGAGCAGGGAACCATGAACATCTTCATGAACATCATCATTGGATTGGTTTCAGGGAAATCTACAGGAAACCATGTGGTTGTTCCATTCCAATCATGAACCCTCTGATGCTCAGGTCGCTCCTCCTGTCGCTCTGAACGCATGGACTGCATTTCAGCGCTCAGCTCTGCTTGGGAGGCCGGCCAAGCCTAAGCACGACGAGTCTGGAAATAATGGGGTATACTGACTGGTATACTCCTAATATAGTCGAACTGAGGAAAAAATGATGAATGATGAATTTGAGAAAGTCAACCATTCCCCCATTTACCCAATTTTACCAATTCGGTGATAGCGAAGCCCAAAAAAGCGGGGTGCCTTATATAGTCGTGGGATGTCGTGAGATTATCACATAGCAGCTTAGCATGATGAAACAATATGAAAAAAAATGAAACACCTTCCAGCAAATTGTCATGGGTGTTTTGATCTCACTCCACCTAATTGCCACATGCAATTTGAGAATGGGAGCAAACTGGAACAAACGTCAACAAACCTCAACAAACACCATCAATATCATCAACCTGATCCAGGTTGGATGTTCCGAATTGGAATAAATTCACATCAAAAAGTCTCCACAGAAACCAATGAAACCACTAGGCCCCGAGCCTCAAGAGCTGAGAGTCTTCGAGATGCGACTGGCAAAAAAAAAAATCTGCACAAGAATGGCAAGTTAGAATGAACAAAATGCATCCAAAAAGTGCAAAAAAGGTCTGAGTCAAACATCCAAATTCTCATGACCTGCCCAGTTCTCCTTTGTCTCGCGCACGGCTGCCGTGACCTACATTGATAAATCAACTTCACCGTTGCCAAATTGTCGAAGCAATGGCCTCAAAAATCAGAAAAGAAACACCGATTGGGATGGCCTCGCGCGAGACGTCGGCGCGCAAGTTGGCAAAGCGCTCTTCCAAACCTCTCACCACCAGAAGGGTCACCTGGTGCCATGGAGCTTTTGATGGGGATAAAAAACATGAAAAAACACTGTCAATCTGGGAAAATGATGGGAAAATATTAGAATAGACAGAATAGATTGATGAATGATGAATGATGGGGAAGATTTGAAACCAACTCCTTGGTCCGTTGCCAGAAATTGGAGATTTGGCCCAAACCCCCATGATTGGTTTCCACTTAAAGGTGGAACATCTTGCTACATCAGGGGTTATCTGAAAATGTGGCATCCCCCAAAAACCCCCTGGGTTCCACAGTTCCACCATCGTTTCTCTCATCGAAACCACCCATTTATCATTTAAGACATATCAAAACAGCCAAATTTAATCGACCCAATTCCGTCCAAATAGATCCAACGCTGCTACGTTTTCCCATAATTGTCAGGGTTTTCCTTCATGTTCGCCAAGGCCACCCATAACTTGCGGGTAACTCGGGTAACTCGTAACTCCGGGCACCTGCTCCTGGAGGTCACTGACCTGAGCCTTCAATGCCAAGACCTCCCGGGAGGAGCCATCGGCCTGGGCCTGGCTGCTGGTCAGCGACTCGAAAAATTGGAATATGGTCAAATATGCCTGAATATGCCTTAAATATCTTAAATATGGTGAAATTGCCGGGGGGGAAACATGGTACAAAGTTGTTACAAACTGCGGGAAGTTGTGGCCCTTTATGGCATTTCTACTGTCACGAACAAATATAAACCATTTGACGGAATGAGGTTCCCAACTTGGAGATTGTCGCTTCCCTCTCAATCAGTTTGGTGCCCAGATTCCTAGCAGAATACAGCTTACAGACCCTTCGCAACCCAGAAATGGGAATGTAATCCCTAGAAAAAGGACCTTGATTAGAAGTTGCGGCCACTGAATATGGCCATGTCAACCTGCACGTTCAGCCAGCTGCAACTTTGTAGCCGTGCCTCTGCGCGAGGTGTGCTTGAGGCTTGAACAGCTTCAACCACTTCGCTCAGCCTCAAACAGAACTGTGGCGGTCATTCTGTCAAATCAAAATCAGCACATCGGTGTCTGAGCAACACACTTCTTGACCTCTGCACGGACTGCTGCAAGCCCTTCTTGCATGGCTTTCATGGCCTTCATATGCCTCACGCTGTGCCATCTGTAAACAAAAAATTGATAAACTGTGAACAAACAAAGGGCCCCTGCACAACTATGACGCCAGGTTGGGCTCGTACCGAGACCGACAAATGTTGCAAAACATGTCAGGAATGCTGTTGGAAAAGTGAAGGCACGTGGGTTGAGCGCACTTCTTGGATCTCCTTTCGAATGGCCTGTGGCAGAGTGGTCTTGTGTCAGCACCACACATCTCACAGCGTTGCAGCCCGGTCCTCTGCTTCTTGGCGCCAGCTTTTCTGGACATGATCGGGTTGCATCTTTCAATTTTGTCTCTCAAACTGGGGGGAACACCACAACATTATACAAAAAATTGCCGTGTTCATTGGGAAAATTATAATAAACTGATAAACCAATACTGTACCAGCCAGGCAACTGTACCTGAGTACCCATTGTTTTAGACAACCCCCGATTTTTCATCTCCGCCTCTGCATGATCTCTCTGGTCTAGATCAAGAAACCTGCAGGACAGATGGAGACAACAGTTGGTACGATCCAACCTGCCAAAAACATGACGAGTTCTCCAACTTCACCCCAATAATTGGGCGTCCCAAAAAAAACACCAATAACAAATCGTTGAGATTCATTGAGATGATTTCAAGTTGGATGATCCCCATATATCATTTATATTCATTTATGATATTCTCATGTTGACCAGGAGGATTCCTCCCATCGCCCCATGGAACTCCGCGGGTCCCATTTGGGCCTGGCTTCAACCTCTCGAAAGTTGGCCTGGCTCTCCTGCAGATCCTGGCGCCGCTGCTGCAGCAATAGATCCACCTATGCCGCTGCTGCTGCGCGCCAAATGGCGAAAGTTCCACCGTGAATTGATTCAGAAAATTTTCCAGAAAAAAATATGAAAAAATATGGAGAAAATGTTGACTGGAGCATGGAGTAGACCATGATTCACCATGAATTTTTGAGGTAAGTGATTGTTTGATTTGTGGAAATATGATAATGAAGCAGTTGATTTGGGGTATATCTTACCCTATCTTCAGACAAACCCATATGTGGAAACCATCTCTGGGTTTCTTTTTTGATGAAATAGAAACACGTCTGGGTTCGACAGCGTTGAGGCTCTCACCATCTTCTCCAGCTGTTCAGTGCGTTCCCGATCCGCCTGAGAGGATACATCTGTCGCCTGCATTGTTGCAAGCTCCACCTGGCTGAGCTGAAAAAACAAGCTGTCTCTGCGAGGTTGACATTCGCATCATTCTGCACATTCCCAATTTTTATGCTACAACACTGTACCATTCCCATGTCTCCATATGGCAGTGTGTCAAAACCAATAGTACCCCTTTTTTGTTCACATCAAAATAGCTGGGATTTATGGATGTTCGTCCCACTAAAAATGCTATTTTCATAGCTATTGATCCATGTCTCCATATCTTGCTGGTCACCAAGTTCAGCTTGGACCTCCAGCTTCGAGCATCGGTCCCCCAAGAGCTTCACAGAATGACCGACCTCCAAGGGAACACACGACGTGAGCTTCAAAAAAAAAACGTTGGTTCCAAATATTTCCAAATGATTCCTTCATGTCCAGTGATTCTGCAACATACAGCATACTATCTCACGAGGTCACAGCTCTATCTTGATTTAAGTATGTCAAATGTTACATTTCTTGATTTAAGTATACCTTTCACGACAACTGCTGGACATCATTTCCAAGTGCTCACATGAGCACACCTCATCAATCATCTTTTTCATCAAGGAGTCCACATCTTCAGGTTTGAGCGCGTTCAACTCAGCCACCTTCCAGAAACACACAAAAATCTCTGCCCCCCTAGTGCGAGCAAATCGTCCATCAAGAAGCACCATCCCTTGTCAAGTTCTTGACATGCGGATGATCCGGATGGGTCAACAGCTACATTCAGCTACAGTATGGTAAGTACATGTAAGTACAAAACATCTTTTAGGAGGATGGAACATCCATTTCCATCCATAAGAACCAGCTATTTTGATGATTTTTGATGTGAACATTCCCATGGGTTTTGATTTTGACCCCATTTCGGGATCAGCCGGGATCAGCCGACCTGGCTTTGGGTCTTTTCAAGCCGTTGCTTCAGGTCTTCAATGAGCCTTGCCTGCCGGGGTTTTGCCATTCTATGGATATGAATGGGATATTCAGTAATTGGATATCAATGATATCAATGATATCAATGATATCAATGATATCAATGTTCCAATCTTCTGTAGATGTTTAATGTTGTTTAATGTTGTCTAATGATGTTTATCATATTTTTCTAGATTCGAAACGCTAAGCTGCTTAGCCGCTTAGCAATCCCCATTGGATCTCTGGGGATCGATGGCTACCGCTACGGCCTCGACGTGTCCAGACTCTTTGGATGGGTTGCCTTGGACGCCAAAAAAGTGGAAAAGAAATGAAAAGAATCAAATTTGTCAAAAGAATGGGACATCCAAATTGTAAACTCATAAAGTGAAAATATGATTGTAATTCAGCTCACGGCGTTCCTTTGACAACAACTCCCTCCAAATCTTCTTCACCTCAGATTTGTTCAATCTTTGCGAAGCTGATCAGTTCAAAGTTTAAACATAAACTGCTCAGGCGCCTCCTCCTCAACTCGCGCAATGGACTCCTTGCCAGCTCTGTTTTGGATTCCGTGCAGCGTAACATGAGAGACCCCTGGCCATCATGGTCCGCTCCTCGGCCCTCTGTCCCACTGTGGTACTTCGAAGGGCCCAGGCTTCTTCCAACACATCGATGCGGGCCTGGGAAACAAAATATCAGGAAAGCACCAGGAACTCACGATAGTCAGCACCACTGTTGAAGAGACAGTCATTGAAAAAAAGCTGCACACCTGTAGGGTTAGCATATTATCCAGCAAGTCGAAGGGATTTCCTGGTTTCATTGGAGAGTTCCGGAGAGGTTCATTGAACTGCCATGGCACCCTGCGCCTTCAACCGCAGGGTCTCTTCCGAGTCGGTCTCCAGGCGTCGGCCTCCTTGTTTGAGGAGCCAATCTTTGATGTGGATCGGATCTGCTACAATAGCTGCTAGGTAGCTGCTAAGTAGGTACCTCAGCAGGATTTCTAAAGTCTGCTTGGATTTCTTGAGACGAAGTTAAACGAAGGTTGAAAAAATGGCGAAAGTAGCCAGTACCGTCAGTACCAACCAGGTCGTCAAGACATGTCCAGCATCTGCTGGCCTGCGGAGCCTGAAGCCGTTCCAAGGCTGACGCCATCCAGCGACAGCACAAGGACTGAACATGCCTCAAGCCGTGAGCCGGGCTTGGATCATCTTGGATCTCGAGGTCCCAAGGGAAACTTTGGTGATATTAGTGGATTGCCTGGATTGCTGATTGTTCTAATCAAGAAATCATCATTAAAAATGGCTGGTTTATGTGAGTTTTGTCTATTTATTAATGGTTAGCAACCCGCCAATAATAACCATTGAATCACCATTGATTATTAATGGTCAGTCAGTAGTCATCATTGACCAATGGTTGTTATTGGGGGGTTCTATCCATTACCAAATCTGCTCCATGGCTTTGTCAGGTGCCGCAACGGCCTCGACTTCCTCCAAAGCTCGCTGAAGCTCTATCTGGCACCAGGGAATGTGGAGAAAGTCATGGAAAATGTGTTTCAAATCATGTTTCGGGTCATGTTTCACATATTTTCACATCATGTTTAATCAATCATTTCACCATCACAGTTGGTTGTTTGATGATGTTTGATGATTGGTGGGTGTTGGGTGCTGGATCTGCAGGCACCTCGATCTGCCCCACTCGCTCTTCAAGTGGTGCTTCCTCAGTGCTTCGAAGCTGCGCTTAGCTCGCCTTCTTTCGCTGGAGAGGAACGCAGAACTGAGGGGCAGACCTGCTCCAAGTCCATGGCATTTCAAAGGTGCTCTGAGGACTATACAGGGACCCTGTACCTGCTGTTGAAATCTGTTGAACCTCCATGTGGAAGACTCGGCCTACCTTTGTTAGTTGTTTGTTGCGGAAAAGGAGAGTGATTCCCAAGATCAAGGCACTGGCAATCGCCCCAATCTGCTTATGCTCTGGTCGTCCACTTCGAGGTTTACTTTGAACTTTGGTGGCTGCAGCATATGGATCATTTGGCGATTGCATTCTGCACAAAGACTGCAGCTGCATAACAAATCTCTCGTGCTTCTGCAGAGCATGGGTTCCATTTATGCAAAAGATCGAATTGTTGCGGGTGTTATTAGTATTATTGGTAGTAGTTTCCAAGGTGCAGTCTCGTGTCAGAAATCCACAGCCAGTTGCCGCAAATGTCTTTTTTCCAGGCTTCCAGTAGAGAGCCTCTTGCCGCAGAGCCTGTAAACCATCCAAACTACCGTCCGGAAAGCGTTTTGCACAGAGCTGTGCTCCTGCGCAGGCAACAATGCCGCGGGAACATGGGCACTTGCACGAAGCGAGCTCTGCTAATTGCCACTGTGGTCACAACCAAACGCAACCACTGGTCATTTTGGACTCGCTGCCAATGGGTTTAAGCACCTTTTCAAGGCAGGCAGTTACGATAATAATCTGCAGCTGCATCGGATACTACTGAAGCACCCAAAAACCTTCTTGGAAGGCGAAAAATGCGAAAGAACCCTGCACAGAATGGGAGACCTCATGCAACCCTGGCAACCCATAAAGAAACTGCAGGCACGCAGCTGACTATGAAGCATCCAGGCAACCCGCCAAACAAATCTGACAAGCTGATCTGTGAATTCTTTGGCAAAAAACTCCCATCTCCGTGGCGGAGGGAAATAAAGCAAAATCAGCTGTGCTCGAAACATCCAACAGTGCCTATCTACACTTCTACACATCGAAATCATTGAATACTGGTCACCCAAGAGTCACCCAAGAGTCCATCATGACACAACTTTGGTTGTAGAACTCGAAGCAAGTCGGCCAGCAGGCTCTGAGAAGCGGCCCAGCACATAATAGAATCAGCAGAACAAGCCTTTGAAGTAATCGACAGACCAAGTAATGAGATTCTCCTCTAACCAAGTCAATGCTCCATTCGATCTTTGCCCCTTCGCGTGCCTCGCAAATGAGATTGACCATTTTTTCCTCTTCCCTCCTCCAAGCGCCGCGGTTCTGCTTCCGGTTCTGAGCAAAAAGATTGACGAAGCTCCCGGAGCCCCCGAGCTTGGCAGGAACAATGTGGCCTCGATCCAGCTGCACCATCTCCTTCTCCAGGCCTGCGTAGTTGTCGTACCACGGGGTTGTGCAGCGGTGACAATCATCAATGATCAGGGAAGCACGATACCAGCGAGGGAAGCGTGTCTTCTTGATTGCATCTGTATCCCCTCTGGGTGGATCCCCAAACCTTGGCATGCCTTTGCCCTTGGTCATGGTGTAGGCCAGCGTCATCCGGTTGGCTTTAATCTTGCAGATGTTGGGACATTCTTGCGCGAGGCTCGGATTTCCAGCGGCTTCCTTGCGGAAGATGCTGTCCAAAGACTTTTGCAAAGCTGCAAGTCGTTCTTCCAACTGCTTGGCATGGTCAGCATCCACGAAGCCCTTCGCCACCGCACTGGTTGTGGTGGTTGTGGCGGCAATGCCGCCTGTCACAGCGGCAGGGATCAGGGTTGCTCCCCAAGTTACGGGTGCTAACAGCAGAAGAATCCCTGATGTGATGCCAGCAACTCCGCCTGTAATCCTGGCACCGCCCTGGGAGCCATTGTGAACCCTGATCCAGCTGCGGATGCTTTCAACCTCTGCTTGAATCGCTTTTGCCTCGCCAGACATTCTTTGGTCATCACAACCCTTCTTGAGCACAGCTAGGAGTTTATCACAGCCCTCCTTGATCTTGGTCATCATGTTCTGGTGGCCGTGCCCAGCCACAAGGCCCTCGATACCCCACACAACATCCCATAGTCCGGCACAAATAATGACAACCCCACCCATAACCTTCAGCTCAGCAGCGCCACCGCTTCCACTAGCCTGCCCCACTGTTTTCATGGCTTGTGATTGAACAGCAGTCAAGGCTTGGCCTGCAGTAGTAAAGCTCTGGACTGTCAATTCCGTAGCTTGCATTGCCAGGGCTGCAAGCGTTGCTCCAGCCGATGCTGCAGTCGATGCCACAGATGCTGCGTCCCATGCGGCCTTTGTCGCCTTCGTTGCTGAGAATGCACAGTCGGGACTTCGCAAAGCCTCAGCCGTCAACTTTGCTACTTCACTGGCCATGAAACCAAATGATGTTCAAAAAGAAGCCGAAGTATTGGATGTTTGCTGCAGTTTCGAGCCAAAAATAACTAGCATCGACCCGAACCTGCAGTCGGGTTTGTCTTGAGAGATTTGTTCGATGTGATCAAACATTCGAAAAGCTGGGCCTTCATATGCCTCACGCTGTGCCATCTGCAAAAACAAGTATTTAAGTCTCAACCTGACGACCCTCGCATTGCAGGAGTGCCTTTTTCCAAAGGGGTTGGCCGTGCTGGTCGTTCGCCAGGCTTTGGGTTTGGCCCCCAACCAACCCCATTTAGGGTGGCTGAGGGCGGGCTGCGAAATTTTTACAAAGAAACATGTTTGTACATGAAAATAAGACCATTGTCATGAGGACCATTGTCACAAGAAAACATGTTGAATTGCACAGTGCATGTAGATCCACTTGATCCAAAGCTCGGTTGATTCACAAAGTTCATCACATCATGCTGACACTTAGTTTGCTTACCCGTTGGTCTGCTGCATTAAGTCTCAACCTGACGACCCTCGCATTGCAGGAGTGCCTTTTTCCAAAGGGGTTGGCCGTGCTGGTCGTTCGCCTCCCCTCTTCACCATACCGATCAGGCACGCCCAACAAGCTGAGATGTCAACAACATCAAGTTTGCAACCTTCAGTCAAAAGCTGTTGGACTTGAAAACGAGATGGGTCGTCCGCCACATTGGACTCGGTGGGCACTCTCGTTATCCATGCATTCCAAGCCATCTCAAACTCTAAGTTGATGCAAGCTTCAAGAATGGGGGTCACATTGACACTGCTTGAATGGCATGATATGAAGCAATCTCGAACTGCATCGTTGTCCGTATGGATAACCACTTTGCATTGCTTCAAGATGTCTTTCCAAACTAACATTGCCAGAAAAATTGACAAGAATTCACATTCGAAAATCAACTTATCACGCTCCGAAACGTTCAGTTCTTTCAATATTTCACCAGGGATTTGTTCTGAGAAGAAACGCTGCTTCCTCCCATCAGAATCAACAAGGACTGCACCAACTCCAGCAATTGGTGTCCCTTCATTAGGGTCAAAAGATGCATCTGTAAAGAGAAACCAGGTGGCGTCACACTGAAGAGACAAAGTTCGGGGTATCTTCAGGGACAGGAGACTGAGAAACCTCCTCAATGACGCTGTCGCTGCATCTGAAAGCAAAGGGCTGTCCGCAGCGTAAGCATGTTGTGTGACTAGGCCCAAGCATCGCCTTGCAATGCGGCCAAAAATTTAAAAAAATACACCAAAAAAAAAAAAAAAATCAAAAACAATCACACAAATGCCAAATCACTTCTTCCCCCTCACTTCAAAGAAAAAACAAAACATCATTAAAAAAAACAAAAACAAAAACAAATCATCCCAAAAAACCTGCCCCCACTAAACAAAACCACAAACCCAAAAAAGCGAAAAAAACACAACTCAAAATCCAAAAAAAAATCAACAAAAAAAAAAAAAAAAAAAAGAAAAAAAAAAGAAAAAACCCAAAACAAAAATAAAATACATCAAAAACAACCACAACAAAAACAAACAAACTAAACAAAAAAAACACAACAAAAAATACAAAAAACAACAAAAAAAAAAAAAAAAAAAACAAAACAAAAAAAAAAAAAACAAAAATTTGACCGGCAGCGAATTGCATCCTGCCACGTAATCTCAAGGCCTCCAGTTTCTGCAGCTTCCCATTGTCCAAAATCTGTGAAATAGTCTGGCTCAGTTCATTGATTCGTTTCTCCGTGTTGTCCACAGTCACTTGTCCCCGATGCATATCTGAGACATCAATTGTAACGCCAAGTGCACTGACTGTAGGCTGGAAAGGGGGAGCCTTCGCTCCATCTTCAGCGAACAACCACCCCAACATGCGAAAGGTGGCCTTGATAGTGTGCTCAACACCGGATGCTTCCAATCTATCAGCCACCACCACAAAGTCATCGAAGTAATTGGTATTGAAAATCAAAAACATTGATGTCAAGATGGCACATATGCTATGGGCTACTCTCAGAAAAGAGTGAACTGATTTCACGCTACCAAATGGCAGCGCTTTCATCCTGAAGGCACGCAAGCTCTTTGATGTCGGGTCACCAACAACAATGTACGCGAAGGGCTGAGAGTCTGGGCGGACTGCGCACTGTCGATACGCAATCTTCAAATCGAAGCTTCGTGCCACCCATGGCGTCTCCTGTCGTAGTTGTGCCATCGCAGCCATGACCATCCCACCTACAACGTCCAGCGTGTGAGGGCGAGGGCTCTCACTAGACTGCACAGCAGCATTCACTCCAGACCCACTGAAGTCATCCACACACCTGATTTTGCCCCCTTGTCGTACGCCAAAACGCTTACTCAAAGGATAGTGGGATGGGACATCACCAAGCTCGAAAGGCCCTTCAATTTCACCCTTGGCAACCTCGTCCATAGTCTGTTGCCAAACCGCTCGAGCAATGTCCTCCTCGAAGAACACCACCTGCTTGTAGCTGATAGTCTTCCTCTGCTCCGAAGCCATCGCATGCAGGTCTGAGGTCGTCAAGCTCGATGGGGTGAACTTCTTTGGCCACAACCCAGTTATCTCAGTTGCCCCCACCAAGCTTGACCCAGTTTTAAATTCTTCAACAACACCCATGTCCTCATAGCCAATAGCAGCTAACATTTCCCCCCAGAGAAGGATGCGCTTTCCTTTCAAAACCTTAGCCACATCGCTATGCAATTTTGCGTGCAAACTCTGCTCCTCGGTCTTCAGTTCCAAAGAGCGTCTCAACCAATGTTTCAAAGTCTGCGCCCTGTGCTGCATCCTGTCTGCTGACGTCATGGTCATGGCTTTCGAAATGCACAAAAACAGCCGCTCCGGAAGAAATGACTGCAGGCTGGCAGGATGACCAGCCTGGACTGCCATGCGCAAGAATTCTTCGGGTCCCCAAGGTAGACCCCATATTTGCAAATGCGTGTCATCTTCATTGTCCATCGCAGAGTCAGGGAATTTGAAAACATTTGGAACATTTCCACAAAGCTCATCATCATTGCTGTATTGAAAAACATTGCATTGCGAAAAATTGCCCCCCTTTGTCTGTGAATCCACTGTTGGAAATTCCACCTGATCTTCCACATTCACGGAACCCTCACCCCCTTTTGCAGAAGAGGGAATGTGTTGCAAAGACAGTAGCTTGGCTCCTTTAGGTAGCATTTGAATTGGTTCATCCAAAAATTGCAAAGGTTGTCGCAGCCGATGGAAAACTGGAAGAGATGGAAGTTTAGACTTGGGTCCTTGCAGAAAAAACTTGGTCTTGTATGTCCTGACCAATGGGGGCATCTTGGATGCTCGCGACTGTTGACCAACTTGAGCTCGCATTCGTTGCAGCGATTGAAGAGATTCTGGATGAAGTTGGTCCAAGGTTTCCGGTGTAGCTGGAACCCCACATTGGGTAAAAATTCGAACAAATATCACTGCAATGATCCGTGCCAATCCCATTGGATATACAGTTTCTTCAGCTGTAGCGAACCCATTGGTTGCTCGGTTCAGTCCCCATCGGGCGTGCTTGTGACGGCTATTTTGACCAGGGCAACGGGCAGAAATAGCCAAAAATTCGGCGGCATTGAAAGCAAGCATCGTCTTTTTCTTTCTCAAACTTCCATATTGACATGAGTGAAAAACTGTATACATGCAAAGGTGTGCAACGCTCGTCCAAAATGTAGTGGCCCAAAAGAGGCTATACTGAGGATTCTCAACACAAAAGACGCAACCCACATCATTTGCCCACTGAACTACTTTCGCAGTAAGGTGGTACAATTTGTTTGCAATGGTGATTCTCGAATTTTCAGAAAAAGTCAGATTGGGAAGCCCGTTTGGGTGACGATCTGACCGTAGAGGGCGTGGTCCATGGGCAGCATGATTAAAGCGATATGATCTCCTTAGGAGTCGCTTCTTCAAAGGTATCTGCCTTGCCCTCGATGCTGACCCACAAGGCGGCGCTAAAAACACACCTACCACATATTCATTACTGAGCCACTCCCATAACAACTGTTCATGTTCTGTGAGGTCCACCACGATCAAAGGACTCATGCACTGCTTATTTCTCACTTTGTCGGTCCCAAAGGAGCTTCTCATCCCCAACTGTCTTAGACAGGCTGTGACACGGCCGCTGCCAGCGAATATCTCTACAACTAAGCAATCCTCTATTGAAGCGCCGCGCTCAAGAAGTTGCGCGACGCGTGGAAACCGTCAAGCCTTGCCCTTGCTCTTGTCATGGTCAGCCACGCTATGGGGTGCATGGCAACCCTTCTTCATACATAGATGCCACCCCTTGCTGCACTCGGCTCCATTTGCAACCTCTTGGCACTTTCCAAGGTTGAAGTTGAAGCACATGCGCCGGTTGTGCTCATCAACACCGACACACCCTTTGTTCTGGAGCTCCCGAGGCAGGATGTTGGACATCTTCTTGTTCTTGCCCTTCTGTTTCCCTTTTCCACCTCCTTTGGAGTATGGTGCAGACTTGTTGTCATACCATCCAGTGTTGCGCGGCTGAGGGCCATACGACGTAGGGTTCGTCTTGGCTTCTTGAGTCTTCTGCTTGGGCAATGGCATAAGGTGGAATCCAACTTCATAGGACTGCAAAGCCACCATGATCTCAGTGTCAAGTGAGAGGATGTCATCAGGTCGGCGGCGCACATTGATGTCCTTGCGGATCAAGACAAGGAAAACGTCACGGTCTGCTTTCAGAACTTGCTGCAATGATGGCTTTACATAGCCATCAGGAGCTTCCGTCCTCAGATGTCCAAAGAGCGTCTGGAGGTAGCGCTCATGTGCTTCCCACGACATCATGTCACAGAATGCAAGAGCGATTCCACGTCTTCGCAGCGCCTCAAGCACCTGAAGTTCCGTCGTTGAACTCTGATCTGGGACCTTGGCCTCCTCCTTCACAAGAAGTTTGTCCGAGTCAATGGACAGCTGTTTGGAAGTCTTTGAAAACAGGACTTCATGTTCTCGGCTGGTGAGTTTTTCAATGGGAAGATATTGCAATTGGCGGTTTTCCCACATTTGCCCCA